TGTGTGTGTGTGTGTGTGTGTGTGTGTGTGTGTGTGTGTGTGTGTGTGGGTGTGTGTGGGGGGTTTAACTTTCCTTCTCTTCTTTTGTGGCGTAAAATCTACACTCTCGCTTGATTTGGTAATCTATTTACTTTTGGATTCAAGCTGATGTTTATGGCTTATGGCAGGCACACACATGCAAACACACAAATCAAGGATATAGTCAAGTGGAATTAAAGTGTGACTTCCTACTTTTCTCCTAAACAAGTTAGTTTGCTTTGCTTTTTTTAGTTGGTTTCCTTTTAAAAAAAAGAATGAATTTTCCCTTCCAGACCTACTACACAGAAAACAACAGCCAGTTGTGCCAAAATATGTAATGTATTTATGTATGTCATCTATTCAGTTCCATATACATTGACTTGCTTGTGCAAATATACAAGACACACAAGTATAAGTGAAAACGTGCGCACTTGGTTTTTCCCAGAGTGACTTGAAATGGAGTGCAACATGTAGACTTCAGTTGGTAGATGAGTTAGCCAGATTTCTGTCTTTCTTTCTTTTACCATTAATTTGTGTTTGGGTGTGGGTGTTGTATCAGTGTGGGTGGATATGTCTCTGGGCATATATCTATCTGCAACTGTGGAAGGCTGTGCAGTATGTGTGTGTATGTGTGTGACTGCAAAAGTTAGGGAACATCAAAGAAAAATAGCTCGGACAGAAAGCAAATGGAGTGAAAATAGACTTTTTTTTATTTTGGCTTAATTTTGGGTAAAACCCCTAAATTAAGGTGATACAGATAATCAATTTTAAATAATGATCTTGCTCATGACAAAGCAAACTAGTTGGTAATTGGCATCACAAATTACATTTTCTTTTTTGTTTCTTTTTGTGGAATATGCAATGAAGTATAAGGATTTCGTGCCCCAAAGCATGCAAAGTGAAGTAGTACTCCCTACTCGTGTTCTGTTTAGCTATTGCTCATTTACCATAGATTCACTGACATTTAAAACATGAAGTGGAACAACAGCGCATTGTGAATAAAGTATGTCCGGGTCAGTGCGCTGTCAAATGCAGCAACACTGCTTCCAGTAATCGTTCAAGCAAGAAACTTAACGGGGTGTAGTCATGGTCTCATATCAGGCTTACAGCACAAACTTCACACATGTGCGCACATTCATACATATGTTTAAATAATGCATCCATGCGGTCCTCTGACAATAGATGAGATTGCTGGTAATTATGGTAATCCATAAGGACATTATGTGATGCATATGTCTAATTACACCATATGCATTGCAAAAATAGAAATGGGAAAATTAAAAGTTGATATCTCAATACAGCACACAGCACTGTATGTGTAAACTGGAAAGAGTTTAAGGACATCTTTAGAAAACATGCATCTTTATTACCCGTAAGCTCATTATGGTTTCTTGTGTGAATGTGTACTTGTGCATAACCATGCATGTGCAAGCTTGCTTGCATTTGCATCAGAAATGTGGGGCAGCATGAGCAAGTCTGTTGCTTTATTTCCAGTCTTTTTTTTTAGCTCCCAAAATGGAGCTCACGCAGTTCATGATTTTTTTTTGCCAGATGTTATGAGGCAAACAGACATGACACACTGTTGTTTGATCTCAGATCAGTGTATTATTTCATACCTTTTATTTCAGCTTTATTTCAGCTGCTGCAAATATGTTCCTTTGCACTTCCCTCTGTGACTGCAACATAGCAAAAAGGTCCCCTTTAAAGCCCTTAGTTAAACTAAAAGATGTTATGTATTTCAGCAATTTGGCCTGTGTTGCTTTGCTTATGATTCAAAATACCTCAAAATATAATTGGTCAGGTGTTTAATACTTTCATCAGCCAGTTTGTGAGGATATTTCATCATGGTTTTTTGTTGTTGTTGTCCTCATTTCCAAATTACTTTTTTTCTTTTATTGTATTTTTGTCCCAAAGCTGATTGAAGCTTGTTTTTAGGGGCCAGTTGATTGGTGTTGCATGGTCAGACTTCAGATACACTTGTACTGAATTTGACAGCTAGAGATTCAATTCTAATGAATAAATCATGTTTAACAAGCAATCCCATGTTGTTGTAGATGAAGAAAGCAAGTAACAGCACAGAGCATTGTATTATGTTCTGCAGTCTAAAAATATATTAAATGCTGGTTAGATGTTACTCATATTAGCAATGTTTTGATAGTAAGGGGTTGCTTGATTATTGATACAGAAATAGATCCCATGCCATACTTTACCTTTGAAATCAGTGACTACAAATTGCAAATTAATCACAAAATTCACTTTCGACTCCAAAAAATCGAAAATGTATTTCAGAGGAAAAGAAATAATACTGGGAATGGCTCAGAAGTCCCAATAATATTCAGTCCAAACACATCCAGTACTGTGCAAAACCCACTCATCATTTCTTTATATTTCGCTTCTAAGGAGCCAGAATTTCCAATAAGGTTTTCAAATGGCTCTTGAGCAGTAGGCTGTCTGAAGGTCTTTCAAAGTTTTTTTTGGCCATTACTTGGTTTTTTATTCATTTTTGGTGAATTACTTGTACCTGAGCATTTTCAGATGAATGTTGTTTGTTATGCAACTTAACACTGACCCATGGATCACTTAAACACAAAAAAGGCATCTACTAACTCGAAGGATGAATCAGTGTTGTGTCTACACATCAAAAGCCCAATTGCACATGACAATCGTACCTTTAGGCAATTTGTTGCCTTTGGCTTGTTTCATAGATAAAGAAATTGGAATAAATCTTTGCAACAGGTAGCGGGTAACAAAGTGTGACAGGCATAATTTGTATACCTGTAAATCTGGCATAGGTTGCCATGGTGTGCAGTGTAGCCCCAAACAAACAAAAACAAAACAATCAAACAGAAATAGTATTTGCATCAGATGAACAGTATATGAAAGTTATGTCGTTGAGAAAAAAAAAATCAAGGAAAGTTTTGACACAGGACTTAAAAGATACATCTGGTCCTTCAGTTGGTTCACCAAAGCCTCATCAGAAATGAAAACATGTTAAAGATGTTCATGTATTAGTTCATGTACTAATAAACTGTGACTGGAAAGTGCGGCGCATTGTGCTGTGCATTATGAATGAATGACTGCTGGTCCAAAATTTACCACAACCACTTTAGTGAGACTTAAAATCTAAAATAACAAAACCATAAATTATCCATTTTATTCTGCTCATCCGAATTTGGGCCGTGGGAGTAGCAGCCTAGGCAACGAAGCCCAGACGTCCCTTTTGCCACCTCCTCAGGCTACTTGGGGGAAACACAGAGGAATTAGATGTAATCTCTCCAGCAGGTCTACCCCATGTCCTCCTCCCGGTAGGACATGCCAGTTTAGAACACCTTACCCAAGAGGCACCCACCTGAGCTGGCTCTCTTCGATGTGGAAAAGCAGCAGCTCAACTCTGAGCCCCTCTTGAATGAGTGAACTTCTCTCCTCATTGCTAAAGGAAAGCCCATCCACCCCTCGGAGAAAGCTAATTTCCACCGCTTTTATCTGCAGTCTTGTTCTTTCGTCTTTAAAGAAAAATGATAGTGTCAACAACAAAGATCAGGCTGAGATTAGCAGATTTATGGGGTTCCTCAGCAATGATGCATCATCTGGTGCCAGATGGCTACATAACATTTAGGGCATAATAATTTACGTACATTGGGCATCAATTTAAATTTAAAACATTTAAATTAAATGACTGCTATGTTAGGTACCGACTAGTGACAATAGCAATGATTAAGTCTAGTGGACTAGTCATGGACATCCCTACTGCTAACAATTGAATACATTAACATTAGGTTAATGTTTACATCAGACTATTTGATGTATTTAGCTTCACAATTTACTAAATGCCTCTGATGAGTGTGAAGATCATTCTCAGGTGTTTTTAAAGCTGTACAGAAGTACTCAGTTCGAATAGCTGTTTGTGCTTTTTTGTTTTGTTTTTTATTTGTATACCAGCCCATTAGATAAGAGTTTCATAGCTACATAGCTAAAATACCAGAATGACTGTGTGTGTAATTTTCAGGCATCAAGTTTCTTCATCACACTTGTGTAAGTTGCCTCTTGGACCAGGATTGGCTTGTAGTGCTTGTAACTACTTGTAATGTCACAAATCCTGCTCATGGGTACTCCCTTTAAACTCTGATATTTGGTGAGCATAAATAAACTTTCAAAGATAAATTGCAAAGCAGACTTTCAATGTCAGCTCTGCACATACATCATTCATTACATCGAAGCTCCAACATCCAAGAGAAGTAATATTTACCAGAACCCAGTCATGCAACTTGTCAACAAGGACCACTAATGAGCTTACTTTAAAAAGAACATGTCATTAAATTTGCAGCAAGAGAAGCACAAATGCTTACCAATGCTCTTTCCCGCTCATGTATCGTATATGTATTTTATAGGGCAGCTTAAAGACATACGGTAGTAACACCATGTTTTTTTTTCTTCTAAATTTAAGAACTATTAACAGCTTTCCATATCTCTCATACTTTTTAATACCACCATCTTCTCCCTCCCTCTCTCTCAGCCTTCTACTCTTCCTCTAAGCCATCGTTCACAGACGAGGCTTAATTATTTATCGGCATGATTTATTTAGCTTTGCTCAACACAGGACCAGCAATCTTCATCCTGCTGTCTCCAACTTTCTCGTCCTCCCTTTTCTGTCCCTCCCCTCCTCATCTCCTGCTTTCCATCTCTCTCCAGCATCGGTTCCTCTCTCTTTCTTCTGGCTCTTTCAACACAGTTTAATCTCCTCTCACTGAACATTTCAAAATAACCTCATTTTCTTGGACTCATTTCCTACTTCGTATTCACCCAAACTTTGTGAGTCTCCAATCGTCTTTGCGTGTTCTTTCAATTTTTCTTATCATCTCCCACGTTTTTCATGTTCACCTGTTCTTATTCTCTTCCTTTTAATCAGGCCTGAAATTGATCTTTTCCCTCTTTGGAGCCTTCACTTTCTGTGTATTCTTTTTTTTTCTCCCCATAATATCCATCATTCCATTATTATTCCCTCTAGTTTTAGGTGAGACATCTCGAAATGGTTTTAGTAATTAAATTTTGTGAATGTGTATGTGTGAAAGTGTGTGTCTTTTCTCTGACATGGCAGGTTCTAGGACTTTGGTCCAACTCCACTGTTTCTTTATTCTGTCTTTATTTATTTTGTTAAAACGCATGATGGAGTGCAATAAAGAGAAAACATGAGGAAGGAAAAATGGGGATAAAAGAAAAGCTTTTTAATGCTTGGGTGACTAAACCTTTAGGAAAAAGCATACACCATTTATTTCCTTGTCTTGATTCGAGCTGCATGACTTCAAATACCAGTGTCCATTCCTAACTTCCATTTGTTCATATTAGTAACATGTAAGTGCTGTTTCATACTCAGTCTGTCTTTTCCTTTGTAATTGGGTGGGTTTCCTGGAGGTCATAAGGTCACCTCCTTTATGTTTTTTCTTCTTCTTTTTTTAAAAGAATGTGCTCATCATTTAATCTCTCGTTTTTCTCATTCTCAAACCCTCCTGCCTGCAATGGGATGCTCCACTCCTTCTCCTTCCTTTCCTCTCTCAACCCTCATCCCCATGTCGTGTCTTTTTGTGCGTCATGTTTGTGGGTGTTCGCAGTGCATGGGCTGTGGGAGGAATGGTCGTCATGGAGTCTGTGCTCTGTGACCTGTGGGCGGGGCTCCAGGACACGAACCAGGAAGTGCATGGACGGCAGCGGGGCTGTAGCTTGTGGACGGCCTGAGGTTCAGACCAAACTCTGCAACATAGCAGTGTGTCCTGGTTAGTACCATCCCCATTAACATGATACACCAAGACTCTCTCTCTCTCTTGCTGTATTAAACTTGACATTTTTTGCCTCTTCAAAGTTGCAAAAGTAGAACATTACCACATCACTGTCATAGCTCCTGAATTTCCATCCACTTGCCTGCATAGTTCATGTTCGTCTAACTGACCAAATGTCTCTCTTCGATTAAATCAAGCCAAAGTCTGCTTTGACATCATCAAAGCTTCTGAATGGGAACAAACTGTTCAACTGTGATAGCACGGTGGATTTGTGGAGGCAATGTGTTTGTATTAGTTAACCACTTTGATTCAAAGTAAAATATCTCAGCTACTCAAAATACCGAATGAATCTTTCTGGCATTTTGTGTCCTTGACTTTGGTGATTGTTTTTTTTTCTCTGGAATCCCACCAAGCCTCGAGTGACAGTTGTGGTCTTGAATAAAACATCCTTACAAATCTTAAATGGAATATCCTGAAATTTGGTGCAGAAATTTATGTCACCCGCATTTACACAACTCACAGTTTTTCACAAGGCAGAGAGTACTTTGTGATGAAGTTCTGAAAGTTAATACGCTTCTCTCAGCATCAGTTGCTAAACTAACGCCCCTGTCCCACAGGTCTAGAGATTAGTATGTAACCATTTGGCAACCATCAGTGCATATTTCATGACCATGGTTGCTGCACCAAATGCTTCCTTGGTGGTTGCTTTGGTTGCCAACAGGTTGATGCAATTGCTAGTAGTTTCTATCAAACATGCCAACTTGTCTGAAAACTATGGGTGACTGCTGCAATCTGCAAGTTAACAAAGCATCACAAAGAGGTTTATGATGCAGTACTCTACTTGTAACAAGCTGTCACGTGCTAACAGCTAGCAACCACCAGCAATCACTTGTCAGCTAGTTGGGAATTTTTCCTAGAACTAGACATTACTAGGAGGGCAGTGTCAGTGGGTCTCTAGGCTTGTGCAAATGAGGCCTAACATGGTAAACAATTTAAAAGGTCTCAAAATGTCTTTGTTTGCATGCTAGCGTGCTGACCATCATGTTTTGCTCCTCTGAGCATCACAGTGACTGTGAGTATTAGTCTTGCTTTAACCAACACTTTTTCATAGAAATTCTGTTTGTAATTGAATTTACGTGTAATGCTGTCACAAAGTGAATTGTATTCAGAGGCAGTTTTGTTTTGAATGTACAGTTGTATTAAAGTCGACTGGAGGAGGTTGGATTGATATTTTGGTGGATTAATTTGATTGTCAATTAACATACTGAATGATTTGCACATTGCTAAAATACATTTTCACAGTTTCCCCTCAGTAGAGATTTCAGTTCTGTTTACGCCTGTGGTTATCCATGGGAATTAAGTCCACATTTCCTTTCAAACTTTCACTTATAGAACCGTAGACTAGAAGTCTGTGTTGGACCGGTGTGCTTCTTCCACGGCTGACTAAGTTTAGATCGTCGAACAACCCGACCGTGTAACTCTTCTATAATTGTCTCTAAAACTATCTATTAAAACTACACTTTGTCAAAAACTGTTAAGACAGCATTTCGGCCCCAGCTAATAGGGCTGTTAAGGATAATCTGGCACAGACTGTCCAGTAGAAACATCTTCATCGGGTTGCCAGTGGAGTGAAGCCGGATTCTCCAGCAACTGAAGCCCTATTGCAGCACACTCTGAAAAAAACGGTGGGACAAGATAGGAGCAATAATTTCTGTAGCTTGTCACACTACAGGCTGTACCTTTGCCAGTACCTTTGTCAACTGAGACGTAAATATGTAAAAATAGGCTGTAGGTAAACTTTGGTTATGCATATTGTCTCTGTGCAGTTTTAATTTTCTATTCCAAGTGTCCCCTTTAGGGGAAAAAACACTTTGGAAACACCGACATTAAAAAGGAATATTAATTTCAGCGATTAAATTTGCTCTGGCTTTTTGTTTCAGACTTTAAATGGATTCTGTGTTGGAGTAAAGGAATTAATGGATACACAGACATTAAAACATAAGACAGTTTATAACAAAAATGCTGTCAGCTTTCTGAATAATAACCTTTTTCTTCCTGAATTAATTTCAGTCCAAGTGAGAGTGTGTTTGCTTAGTGTGTAATCACTCACAGCCTGAGCAATTATCACAGTGTAAGTGCTTTTTATTTAAGACTGCTAAGGCAAAGAATTCTATATCACTTTCCCCTGGACTTTGAATCCATATGCCTTTACATTTATGTGAGTGATGCTGGAGCCAGAACCTTTTCCTGCATCCTAAACAATATTTTTGGATATTTACTTGTTTTTTTCCCTCTTTATTTTCAAAAGCAGAGGTTTTGCAAGGTTAATATTTAAATAAAACAAACTGTCCCCCTTGCCAGACAAAGAGGCTGCAAAGTTAAAAAGAAGGAACAGGGAGACATCGTAATCTAAAGTATGGCCTCCAGGATGTTTTGCCAAGCTGTTTTGGGAACAGTGATGGAAAGAGAGGGTTTGGGAGAAAGGGTGTCTTCCTGCGAGGCCTTAAGGAAATCTTTGTGTATGTGAACGTGAGAATCTATCACAACAGATTCAGCCTGCTTTTGGGAGTTCAAAGTCAATGGTCCTTTGAAATCATGAATACCAGCATAGGCCTTTTGGCACAAACAACCATGCATACAGAATAGAGCTTTGATGGATTGTGTGTGTGTGTGTGTGTGTGTGTGTGTGTGTGTGTGTGTGTGTGTGTGTGTGTGTGTGTGTGTGTGTGTGTGTGTGTGTTTGTGCGTGCGTGCATGCATGTCTGTGTACATGTGGGTGCATAGTTGTGTGTTTCCCTCGATAATTTGATCTCACTGCAAACCATATACTTAATCCTCACGCTATGAGCTGTTGCATGTCCTGTTGTGTTTATGCTACAGTATATTAAACCAATTTCTTACCTCTTCACAGTGGGTTGTCACTTAGGCAGTCACATGCTAAGCTAAGCTTACATATCAAACAAGTGCATACATATGTGGGCAGAACTGCAAATGTAAATGTGGCAGCTGTTGCATCATATGAAGACAATCAACGGGGTATTATTAAAGTCAGCAGACATTTTCATGGAAGTAATTCATTTGGTCATATCAGACCTTTTTGAGCAAACATCAAGTACTAAAAAAAACCTGTGTAGGCAGAGAGCTGGCTGGAAATTGCCTTTAAGTTCTTTGACACCTCCTTTTCTTTTTCACAACGTTAACAGTTCAGTTCATAGCCAAACATATGCTGGGATTAATTGCTATGTCTTAATTACAGGCAAATTGATAGTTTCTTTCTTTGGCAAGAGCTCCCTCTTAACAGAGAGCTGCCATCCAGCTTTTTTAGTATCAGTGCCGATAAGCTGATTGTGCTTTGTGTGTTAACACAATGCTGAGATATATACGATAGCAATCCTTACAAAGAAGTAACACTTCGACAGAAAGATATGGACGGTCTGAAAATGTGTTGGTGTTTGTGTCATTTTCTTTTTTCAAATGTTGTTTTAGAAAGGTAACACTTCCATTAATCAGAGCAACTTCTAAAAACATCACATTTGCAATGCTTCTCCAGGTCACACTTTATTTCCTTTATGTCATCTCCGCGACACAATGCAGACCCACGCCCGTTGGAACACAGTACAAGTGTCGCCTGGCGTGATTGACCACTTTACCAAGGAGAGCTGGCAATGCCTTCTCACTTGGGATAGCCAGACAAATACATTTACAGCACTGTACTTCACTTTCTCTGCTGCTTAATGCCCCGGAGTGTAGAATGTGTGACTCAATATATCATTTCGAGCAAAGAGTTCTCACTTCGAATTGTAATTCGTGTAAATACAGAGACAGAAGAAGTCCATACACAACAGATAGATATATCTACTTGTCCGCTGCAGTAGTTAAAAATACGTTTTCTGCCTATCAGATATTATAGAAGCTTTATACAGAGAGACATTTCTTTATATTTTGTTAGGAGAATGAGAAATATGTGGAGCAATTTATTGAAGCGTGTACAAAAATACATGGAACAAACAGAGTTTATAAAATTATAATGAGCTTGAAAGTCAGTATTTTGCATGGCCACCTTTATTGTTCAGTAGAGTCTGAACTCTGTTAGCCAAGTGTTCTTGTAATTTCTTTAGGTTGCATCCAGGAATAGTTGATGGTGGTTCAAAATCTGACCATACTTTTCTGCTTTCCTAATTCCATCAGCTTTTTGTTTTTACAAGACCCCCAAAATTACTGACTGTAATGCAGCCAAAAACCATGACAGAGTTGCCACTGTGTTTTAAACATGGTTATAGATAATCAGTGCTCCCATTTCTCCCCTCGTCCTAAGTTTATTGACAATGAACTAAACGGAACTTCATTCTATAAGACCACTTTTAGTCCAGTTCTGCTGAAATTCAGTGTATCTCATTGAAAGCTTCTTGACACTTCTTATTTCATCCTCCACTTGTTTAGTTTCCTCATTTTTTTTAAGGACACGCTGCGCACCATACCGAGATATGTCTGTTAAGGTTCTCAATTATCCAGGTCATCATAGTCTCAAGAGCTTGTAATGTTCAAATAATTATAAAAAAGTGGAGTTTACGCTGAAGCAGAGCGTAAGGTGTTCCAAGTGTTCCATTTCTTTCCAAGCTCCTTACACCATACCGAGATGTGTATGTTTTCATATAATGACTGAATCGCCCTGCTGGTGCAAAAATGTTATCTTTGGCATTTTTTATAGATTTTATGCTACTGTGTCTGTGACACACTACTAGTAAAAAAGTGACTAAAGATAGAATTTAAAAAAGGTCTTTGTTAAGTTTTCTCTTCAACAAAAACTGGTTTAACCGTCTTGAGTTCGGAGCCTTCTTATTCTTGAATCGTTTATCAGCCCCTGTTAACTATCCATCCATCCATCCATCCATTCACTTCCGCTTATCCTTTTCAGGGTTGCGGGGGGGCGCTGGAGCCTATCCCAGCTGTCATGGGGCGAGAGGCGGGGTACACCCTGGACAGGTCGCCAGTCTGTCGCAAGGCTAACACACAGGGACAAACAACCATTCGCACTCACATTCATTTGCACATTCACACCTAGTGACAATTTGGGTTATCCAATTAACCTATCCCCACAAGCTGCATGTCTTTGGACGGTGGGAGGAAGCCGGAGTACCTGGAGGGAACCCACGCAGACACGGGGAGAACATGCAAACTCCACACAGAAAGACCCCGGCCTGATGTTGGAATTGAACTCAGGACCTTCTTGCTGTGCGGCAACAGTGCTAACCACCGTGCCACCGTGCAGCCCCCCCCTGTTAACTAATGCTCACCAAACAAACTCTTGAACTATAACGTATAATGTTTTACTAGAGCTGACTAAATCTGTCATTAAATATTATATATTTTAAAGCTACTTTTTCATTTTCTGTTTAGATCATTTTCTACATACTAATAAGCATTGGTACTAGAGTGCAGTTTAGTCAGAAGAGCTCTGAAAACGCTATGCAGTGTACTTCCCCAAGGCTAAATGTGGTTGCTTGGGACCGTGTTTTATTCTGTATCCTTATGTAATCTGTAGGGAGTGAAACAGAGCTAAAAGAAAATATTAGATTTAGTTATGTGGCCAGAAACGCCACCTGAGTATGAATGCCAATGCAAATGTCTGTCTCCTGGATGTGTAAATACCGCCTTGTTTGATAGTGCACACTCCTTATCTAATTTCTTAGCTGATAATGTCAGTTTAACCTTAACGGTTTATTTTAGTGTCCAAAATTGTCTCAAAAACCAATTAATGTGACAGTTTTAGCAGGCAGCAGTTAAATCATTACACATCATTAAGAATTCAAATTTGTGCAAAAGCACAGCTCAGGTCCTTCAATAATTCCAGCTGGAGGCAACACATTATTGTTTTACATAAGTGACACTGACGCCAACAAAAGGAGGCATTGATTTATTACTCCATTTCAATTATTATTTTTCAGGATTGTGTGTGCTTGCGTGAAAGAAGTGGTAAAGCATTTGTTTAGAAAATAGCAATTGACTATTCCGTGCAATTAAATGCGGCGTAAACCAAACAGAATTAATGTGACAGTGTAACAATAAAAACCTAGTTAAATTGGCTCTTTCATGCTGCTGCTGCTGCAGGTAAAACAAATGCCCAGATATTATCTGTTTAGGACAATTTAACTGCAGTAATAATACAGTTGAACACAACCTTTTGTTAAACAGCTAAAAACTAGCACATTGTCAGAGAAGATTTTGGCAGTTGCTTTTGTGATTGAAGTTTCTGAAATTGTAGCGCTTTGACAAGTGTCTCTGCGTTCAGAAACATAAAGGAACATGGCTACAGGCTAGTAATTGGGTCCTCTGTCAGTTCTTTTTCGTTTTATTACAAAGATTTCTAATCAAAAAAGTGTTTTATTTATTTATTTTTTCTGCGACACAGATCTTCAAAGTTGAATCTATAGCTCTCTTTGAAGACGATGACGTGCCAAAAAAATCTTATCTGCTTGTTTGGGGTTTGGTTAATGTCATTTTATTGTATTTGAATATTTCATCTGACAACTCAATTACTCCCAAGCAACACTTCCTTTTCTAGCACCCATTAGAATGGACAGCAGGGGCTTTGATTACATCGATGCGTGTCGTCAGGCTTCGGTTAAGCTGTCCGACAGGCAGTACTTCATTGTGTTTGAATTATTATTATTTCTATCTGTTTCCGCACAAACACCAGTCAATAGGATTCTCTTTTTAATAATACTGTGTGAAAATCCAACCAAATGCACTTTGTGTGAACTCTTTTAAAACAAAGAGTGGAAGAAATTGCATTCAGCTTTTTTTTGGTTTTTTTGTAACAGATTGAAATATTTAAAATGTCCATTAAAATGGGAGGTGCACTGTGTTTGTTTGTTGCTATTTATGGGAAGCCAAATAGCTTCTGTAATTTATTTGCTGTTCATCCTAACTCATTGTATATTCTATTCAGCGTGCTCACTTTATCTGCCTTGTCTTTTTCCTCCCTCTCTTCCTCTGTGCCTTCCTTTTCACTGACAATCATTGTCTTTTTTTCCATCTCTCTTTCTTTTTTTCATTTCTGATCCCTCTTTAAAAATCGTCATCCCTTCACCCTCGTGCATGCTCCCGTGTCTCTTTATCTTCTCGGATCTGTCTCCCGCTCCAGTGGAGGGCCAGTGGTCAGACTGGGGGCCTTGGTCGAAATGCAGCGTGACTTGTGACACAGGGACCGAGCAGAGGCAGAGGCGCTGTAGCCCATCGGTGCACGGCTGGGCTGAATGCAAAGGCCCCCATCAGGAGAGCAGAGAATGCACCAACCCTTCGTGCTCCGGTAACACAAATTAGTATTCACAGTCACATGCTCTCAGATGGCATTATGCAAACGCAGAACATGCATTATCTAAAGGCATCCACATGGTTGTTTTTCTGATTCATATTCCACACATGAGTAATTATTGGGTTGGGACCTAATTTGGCTTATGAGTCTGTTTCGACAGGGGCCCCAGAGAACAAAAATACTAGGGTGTTTAATGAGCCTGGGCCCAAGAATGGGCTCGTATTGACTTAATTTCTCACACTAATAAAAAAGCTTTAGACTTGTAAGTTAAATTTACTACTTCATTCATAACTGTCATTTCTTTTTCTTTTTTTTTTCTTTTGCAATGCATTCCGGTACTTACATCTTCACTGGTGGGGCTCTTCCTCTTGCACTAGGTGGAGGTAACTGGGGCAGCTGGAACCACTGGAGTCTCTGCAGCAAGACGTGTGACTCTGGATGGCAGCGGCGCATCAGGATGTGCGAGGGCACTGGATTGCAAGGCTACCCCTGTGATGGCTTAGGAGAGGAGGTCCGGTCGTGTAATGAGAAAAAGTGCCCTGGTCAGTAGCTTGAGTGTGCGTTACAGACAGAGGGCTTCAGTATAATCTGTATAACCTTTTCATGCCCTAGTTTTTGTCTTTCACATTTTTCCTTTGTTTTTACGATGATTTCGTGGTATTTTTGAAGTTTAAAAGACTGCGTGTGTGTGCCAAAATTGCACTTGCACACTACCTATCGAGCAGAATGGAAGCAATTCCAAGAGATTAACAGCATACCCAAAAGCTACCTTCGCACTTTTAGAGCTCTTCACATCCTTTTCTGTCCTTTGCCTGTCTTCATGTCAGTTCACATACCCGTCCGTCTTCACCTCTTCATTGATTTTGCATTTTTCCCTTGTATTGCCTTCTTTTTATCCTCTCTGTTTATCTGTGAGTTATTTGCTTTCTCCTTATATCTCTCCTGTTTAACATTTTTTTCAAAGCACTAATCTCCCTTACTCTTTGTCTCTCACTTACTTTATTTCCTTCTATGTTTCTCTCCCTGGTGGAGGGCAGGATGTTCAACGGTCCGCTTGGTGCTATTTGTCAGTGTCAGCCATTGCAGGAAACACTGTGGTTTTTAATAAGTACGACTCCTAACTGAAGCTGTGCATGTGTGTTGGTGTATATATATATATATATATATACATACACATATATGTATGCAAGTATATTTTCAGTGCGTGTCACTTGTGTTAGCACTGAGACTTGACGAGTTGCAAATGATGAACTTTTGAGTGGAGCCTCCATCATGACCTCTTTGTTTTTAGTAGCTCTAAAGCTTTTTTACACTAGACGAGGATCTTTTCTGTTGGCATTGCAGGGGGAACATCACACATTTTCTCCATCTTCGCTCTCCGTCCCTCTTCATCTCTCTGCATCTGCCTCTGCCAACCCTAGTGTGCCCCCTCGGAATATCTTCAGAGCACCCAGCTCCCCCTCCCCCTGCCTGTTTTTTCATCATGGTTATGAAAGAGAGGGAGGGGTGGAAAACAGATGAATAAAAAGAGGGGGTAAGATGAAGAGGGAATGAGATACTGTACTGAGGCAATGACACCGACAGAGAGCTCTGAGAATGTACAAGGGAATAAGATTGGGAGCTGCTGCAGGAGAACATTGATTTGAATCGTGTTTTTTTTTTTTTGTGCTTTGCTTCTGTCTGTCTCCCTTTTTTTTTATTTCTTCTGGTTCGGCATGTGTGTGCGTGCGAGTGCGTGTTTGTGTGCGTGTTTTTTTTTTTTTTTCTGTTCTACTAGGCTTGACTTCATTTTGCTTTTTTTTTCTATGTGTTTCTCACTTTCTTCTATAGCGCCTCATGAGATATGCAAAGACGAGCATCTCCTCTCGATGTCATGGAAGAGAGCCTCAGCTGGAGAAACTGTCTACAACAAATGTCCAACGAATGCTACTGGTCAGTCACATTGCAGGCTTTTAGCTAATAATGCACTCAGCTCAAAGAAGAAGAAATTTTGTGAAATTATGTCACAGCAACCAAAACAGTGAAAAAAGTTATTCAGTAAAATGAAATCCAAATATTATAAAACAAACAGGTTAAGATAAATGTTGTATAGAGATGAGATGGTAAAGATTTCACGTGTCTATCCTTGTGGCAGCAGAGCACCTCTTCATCAGGTGATGGAGGAATCCAGACAATGTGTTGCTTTAAACCAGATTAAAACAGAACAGTGACAATGTGGATATAATCCAAGAAAAAGCAATTCAGAAACACCTCCTTGCACCAACATGTGTGGGATTACACCACATTTCAATCATAACTGGTGCAATGCCCCCACGTTTCATCTCAGCTCAGAATAACATTCCTGTCCACCTAAAAAGTCCTGAAGTGACGTACGGTCACGCTGTGGTGTGGGAAGTTTGAGTGTGGCACGTCAAGGGCTCAAATCAGATCGCCTAGGTTGTCCTCATTATTGCCCAATCACCAATGAAACCACTGTCATTTCCTCTGTAGCTTCACCAGGATTACATGGCTCAGTCCAGGCAGTAATACGAGCTGGTTAAGATTTGGGAGCTGTGCAACAGGCTGCCAAGCAGCATCGTGACAAGGGGAAAAAAAAAAAAGCATATTGCAATCACAAGTTTCTTTACACAACTCAAGTACCAGAACTGTTACAAAAATGTCCAAGCGAGAAGCTTAAAGAAATCTCCAGTAGGAGCAACAGAGGTTTGTTAGCATCACGAACATGTGGGCATGTTGTTTTTAGCAATGGTAAAGTTGCAGCAGAAGAACAGAGATTGGCTACTTAATGGAAAAAAAATCTCTGTGATAATTAACTTTGGAAGTTTGTGAGCCTCATGTACATACAGTAGCACTTCCTGATTAGGAAAGGCAGAGCTACAGTCAAAGCAATATCTGCTAAAGCTTATACTGTAACACAGGGCTTGCAACTCTCTATGCATGTGCTATGAGACATATACTTGTACCTTCTTTCTCAAGGTTGCTCACTGCCTGGAGAAATGTCATGGAAAAATAAGGAGAAACTTCAAAGTCAGCTTTTTGTGATTTAAAAAAAAAAAGAAAAAAAAAGGTTAACTTGTATTTTTAGTCTTAACATCTGGCTTGTTCCAAATTCACCATCGTCACAGGTCTATAAGTCAAAATAGCTCATTCTCTTGATTGACCAGGTTTACACAGAGCTGTTTGTGAGGCAGTTGTGTGCATGATGATGCAAAGTAAGTGGATTGGTAAGTCATATTTGAGCTTTTTACAAATAAATACAGATGAGTTGTCACAAAACCATTATTAGACTAATAAAAAAGGGCTGATTTACAAAATAATTGTGGCTACAGTCAACCAAAGCGCCTTGAACGTCATCAGGACAGTTCTGCTCAACCAGATGTCAGCCTGAGTTCTGCCTGCGATCAGATCTGGCTTCACAGGATGGAGAGGCTAATACTGAGTCAGTTTAAGGCTTTGAATTTCAGCTTTAAGGTCTTCTTTATTGGAGACAAGTCTCTGATCTCCAATGGCATACCAGATATCCAGACTCTTTTCAGGGGTCAGAGCAGCATTTACGTTTTTCTCCTAGAAGTCAGAAATAAAGAACATTCAACATCCCAAATGGATGGATGAGGCTCTGAGATACACCGCTGATAATCCTGGATCTGGTCCTCTCGTTATTGGTAAAGCTTTCTGGAAGACATCTGACGTCTTTCTAGTCCAGGATTCATACAGCTCAAACATCTGCTCCTTGACGTGCTCAGGGGGAAACCAATCCTCCATCCACAACTGGAGGAAGTGAATTGTCCTGCGTTATCTGTCATGTTTTTGATAAGGAGAATGTCAATGACGAGTGATGAATCTCCTGTGTTCCTTGTTTTTCTTTTCTGATCAGCTGCTTCTTTGCTTATATTGATGTTCCAGATTTTTCATCAAGCTGCTCTGGAGATGTGTCACAGCTTTGCAGGTGTTACAGAAGCAAGCTTTCTTCTGGTTCTTCAGAGTTACTGCACAAATGAGCACACACAGATTTAGCGGTTGTTGCTGGTCAAGCTGTGACGTGTTGCCCAGCTGGTTGAGCCACAGCTAGATGAGCAGAAAGAAAGGATCTTTGTACCAGCTCACTGCTGATGAAACTCTAGGGTTCAGCTCTCTTTGGGTTAAACGATTTGTCAGAATTCATGTTCTAGAAACAATTATCTGCAAACTTTGCAGTTCTTTGAAGGAGGTGCTTTTCAGTTAAATTGAGGTCAGTGTAGGCTTAAAGCAGCATTAAACAATGCAAAACCTAATGAAATGAGGCAGACCTAAAGTGGTTTGTACTTGGAGTGATTCTAAACAGAGGTATTGAACCAGCTGGACCAAAGACCAAAGATTGTACCATCTCAGAAGTTTCTATAGTGTGATGTGATGTTTTGTACGCATGTTCATTCGATGTTTTTCTAGCCACGCTGACATGTCAAAGCACTTGAAACAGTGTACCAATCTTATCCATCAACAGAGCACTAAATACATAAAGTACAAGCCGTATATATGTACACTAATGAAACATCATAAATCACTTCATGCATACAGGTGTCTGTGGATCAGAATATTATATTAATCCTTGAGGAAATTATGTAAATACAGACTTTAACATGGTTAAGGCAGACTTAAAGCTGAGTGATTTTACAGTGGCTTGCAAAAGTATTCGGCCCCCTTGAACTTTTCCACATTTTGTCACATTACAGCCACAAACATGAATCAATTTTATTGGAATTCCACATGAAAGACCAATACAAAGTGGTGTACACGTGAGAAGTGGAACAAAAATCATACATGATTCCAAACATTTTTTACAAATAAATAACTGCAAAGTGGGGGTGTGTGTAATTATTCAGCCCCCTTTGGTGTGAGTGCAGTCAGTTGCCCACAGATATTGCCTGATGAGTGCTAATGACTAAATAGAGTGCACCTGTGTGTAATCTAATGTCAGTACAAATTAGAGGTGGACCGATCCGATATTACGTATCGGTATCGGTCCGATACTGACCTAAATTACTGGATCGGATATCGGAGAAAAATAAAAAATGTAATCCGATCCATTAAATATCACGAAAGCAC